GGGTTGGACTAGATGACCTTTAAGGGTCCCTTGCAACCCAAACCATTCTATGATTCTATGATAATGGTGTACGACATCTGTTTCTGCACGGATGACCAGCTGGGGATGCTAACTCAGCACTACCCTTTGCTGTGCCCGCAGGGCATAGCTGCAGGGCAGGCATGCCCGTGCTTTTGTGGAGCTGCAGGACAGCTAGTCAGGAGGCAGCGCACCTTTCGTCCAGCTGCTAACCAAATGCAGGGGAATGGGGCAGGGCTGCTGCACCAGTAGTCATATTGGTGCCCATAACGGTTGCTGCAAAGCAGCTGTATTTCTTTGTCCAGCCTCCTTTGATCATGGGGGGGAGTGACTTAACCCTTCAGCATGGGGAAATCTGGATGCCGCTCTGCACTTTCCACCAACACTAAGCTGCTCCCATCAATTAAAGGTAAGGAAAGTCATCCAGGAGCTATGTTCATGTAGGGGGAGAGCACGTCTCCCCCCTTCTCCCCTCCAAAGGTCCTCACCTGTTCCTTATGCACCTCCAGTTCTTTCTGAATGAAGCAGCCGATCTGGTCGAAGGTAGGTCTCTGTGTGGGCTCCAGGCTCCAGCATGCCTGCATGATGCTGTACCTGCGGAGCCAAACAGGGACAGGGCGGTTGCACTGTGCTGCTGCAAAGCTGCTGCAGGGTCTGCACCCCCAGGCTCTTTCCTGCAGCACTTTTTATTTCGGGCACACAGTACTGAGCAGTCCCTTGTCTTCCTGTCTATAAAACCTGTGGTCAGTGCATGTGCAGTGCTCCAGGGAAAGGCGAGCACAGAAGTGGGTAGAGCAAAGTTCTCTAATCCATCAACAAGGGGCTTTATGCCTCCAGTACTTTTTTCTTTAAGCTAAAACTCATTCCCCTCCTGTAATCTACTCAGGCCTGTCTTCTCACAGTCCTAGGGTCAAAAGTAGCTGACTGAAAAAAGAAAAATCCACCAAGTTCAGCAATGTAGGCATATAACATGAGCTCTCCCACCTTCCTGTACATAAACAGAGGAAATACTGGGTGGAGCATCATAACTGAGTGCCCCAGGTCTTGCTTTCCTCCAGGAGCAAGGAGCAGCCTGGTAGGGTCCAACCTGAACCTCAAGGGCAGACACACCTGGGAGCAGCAGGCAGACCTGTGACCGAGGCCCCTGTGCCATCTCCCTGCCCGTCCCCGTGAAGCGGCTCCAGCCACCCTGTCACCCGTTGTGTGCATCTCAGCGTATCCACTCACATTTCCAAGGGAGCGAAGTCGGGCCTGGCCATCTGGTATCCCTGCTTCACCATGCTGTAGAACTTGCTGTTCACCACCATGCCGGGATACGGACTTTTACCTGTGGCAGTAACAGAGGTGGCTCTTAGATCAGAGGCTTTAACACTCCAGCCTTGTGGGGTGAGAAGAGGCAGCCCGGAGCATCGCCCGAGCTACTCGTTCTCAGGGAGTTCGGAGTTTAGAGCAAATCATCCAGGATCCATTGTTTTTAATGGTCCCTCTGGAAGCATAACACAGTGTTTTATAGCCCTGATAAAACCTAGATTTTTGTCAACCTTCCTCCTTTCTTGGAAACTTTTCTGCAGTGACATTAGGGCTGTGGTAAGCCATGGAAAACAAAACAGGTTTACAAGCTCGCTTCTTTCTTACCAAGGGAGAAGATCTCCCAGAGAAGGATGCCGTAAGACCACACATCGCTCTGCACTGTGTAGATGCAGTCAAAGATGCTCTCTGGGGCCATCCATTTCACGGGCAGTCGGGCCTGGAAGAGCAGAGTCCTGCAGACTGGGGCAAGCTGGCAGCTTATGCTACACCCTGTCCTCCGTGCTCCAGCCGCACCCTACCCTTGTACCTTCTCTTGTCCCCATTTTAATTACTTACGTTGCCTTTTACAACATAGTTAGAGTCATTCATGATATCACGGGCCAGGCCAAAGTCACAAATCTTGGCTACTCGTCCATCTGATACGAGCACGTTCCTGGCTGCTAAGTCACGGTGGATGCACTGGGGAGAAGAGAGCGCAACTGAGACCCAGCCAACGTCCCCCAGCTGTCCCAGCTAATTCCCTGCGGCCCAGGCCTGCCACCGAAACAACACTTAGAGGGGCAAGGGGAACACATACTGCTTGAAAAGCCCCTGTAAGAGGCACTGCGTTGTGTACAAGGAGTATGGGCTCTCTTTCAACCACTTCATTTGCAGTGCTAAGACATTGTGGCGTTTCATGCCATGTCCTTTAATCACTCATGGGGCCGTCGTCTTCCCCATGGGAGGAGGCTCAGAGCCAGGGGCTGTTGACGCTGTGCTCTCATCTCCGAAACAGTCATACGGTTACTCTCTGATACTCTAAATGAGCCAGCTCTGGCAGACAGCTCAACGGCCACTTTCAGTTCCTTGTCCCTGGGGCAGTGGGGAAGCTGCCAATGCGAGAAAGCTTTGCATCAAAGTTCCTGACCTCATGTAAAAGCTGGGGAGAACCGTTGAGACTAGCACGATGCACAGCCCTGGGTTCCCCCCTGTAACGCTGCCCTGCCGTGATGGCCTGCCCGGAGCCTGTGGGAGACGAAGGCTCTGAAGCCTGACACCAGGCGCCATGGCCCAGCGCGTCTGAACCCAACAAACGCAGCAGAGAGGCCCATTTCCAGCAGCAGCTTGCTTGAGCTTGGCCACCCCATCCGAAAACATCCCGAGCCTTGTGCAGACAGGATGGCTGGTGCCTGCTGGCTGGACTGGTGTTTCTCAGCTGGGGTGCTGGGGGCAGTTGTCCTCTTGGCACTCACGTTCTTCGATGCGAGGAATGCCATGCCCTGGGCCACCTGGCTGGAGAACTGTAGCAGGTCAGAGAGATTGAGGGGACGGAGGTCCTCCCTGGTTTCATCTTCTTCCTCTGAGCTCTTCCCTGAAATGCAAAGCGAAGTTTTAGAGTTGCTGCAAACCTGGGAATAACTCAAGCTATGCTGTATCCTGGTTCCCTGGGGCTAAACCAGACAGGATCACCAGAATAAAGAAATCATAAAAACACAGAAATGAGCCTTTAACTCACCCCTGGCTTGCACAGAATCTGATGACGCTGGAGATGGTGATGACACAGGTCTCATTTCAACATACGTTTCCAAACCCTGGCTCGAAAAGCCACTGTCACTGAGTCAGAAGCAACAGAGATGGAGGCAGGCTGTTAGCAACCCGCCAGCAGTACCTTCTGCCCTTCTCCACATCCACCGAGAGAAGAAACCACATCCGTGCCTGCAGGAACTGGCTTAGCTAGAGGCTTAAGGGCAAGGGGAAAGTCAACATTGAGGCCAATTCAGAAAGGGCACCTAGGTGCCCTGTGGTATGGGGCTCCAAGTACTGCTCCCCTTTTGTCAAGGGGCTGCCCTTGGCTGATGGGGAGCACTCAGCCTCTTGTCCTACAAAACCCACGTGCCCAACAGTGGAGGAAGCCAAAAAGTCCCGATTCCAGATTGTGGGAGGGCAGACTGGATTGAAACCTGGATTTATTGTGGGATATTCACGCTGTCAAAGACTTTGAAAAACTCGGAAGTGTAACCAAGTCTAAACACACGCAACCCCAGTGGCTTTTACATCCTGGTATTCTGCAAGTCCCCAGACCTTTGGCCTTAACCTCTCCCCAGCACAGCCCTCTGCGCACCTCTCACAGCAAGTACTCAGGCCTGCATTGCTCAGCCCTGTGGCCACCAGAGCTCTGCTTTTACCTGCGGATGTATTTCTTCTCTAGGTCAACGTTTTTGTAATCAGCAGTGCTGTCTAAAGAGGTGTCCAGGGCAGAGTCCTGGATAATTATGGATTCAGCCTTCTTCCGCAGGAAATTCAGCAGATCTCCATAGCGACAGTACTCGGTGATGACGAGGATTGGGCCTGGAAGAGAGGCAGAAAGGGTTCGTTAAGAAGTGATGTTACTGTGACCTGTCCTGAGGATTGCTTTCCCTGGGAGGGGCAGCAGAACCCACACTGCCCATAAGTGCATCCGGAAAGGGCCAGCCCACAGGCCCTTGCAAAGTTATAGGTTCAAAAAAGGCCGCCAAGGTCATCAGCTATCTGTGTTGTGAGACTGAGGAGAGGTAACAGCCTCAGAGGAGCAGGCCATGGGAGGGGTCCATGGGGGAAGCAGGGCTGTGGGATCCTACCTCCATAGGTACATGCTCCCAGCAGGTTAACAATGTTCTCGTGGTGTCCCAAGTGACTCATGATCTTCAGCTCAGACATAAGAGCTTCCTGCTCATCTGTGTCTGCCGATGCTGCAAGACAAGAGGAAAAGGGCTGTGTGAAGGAGTGAGGGAGGGACAAGGAATAGATGGTGGGGGAGGACAGAAAAAGGTGTAGAAAGAGATAGGGAACAAAAGGAGGAGACACTTAGAGAGGAAATTGTGTGCTCTGTCTATGCCTTTGGCCACACATGTCCACAAAAATGACAGCAGCGTGATTCCAGCACTCAGTACTTATCACAGAAACATCTAAAAAAGTAGATGTTGCAGCCTGGGCGCACCAACACATGTGAACACACTCTACATCCTGCCCAAAGGAGCGTGGGGGATTTCAGCCTTTGCAAGTTGCTCTGGGCTTACACTTTAGCATCTTCACAGCCACTTTGAGGACTGAATCTTCTTTGCCCAGCCCAAAAGCGGTGGCTTCTACCACTTTTCCAAAGGCTCCCGCTCCAAGAGTTTTTCCTGCAGAGGGAAAAAAAATGTACTTATAAGATACTTTATAGAAAGAGATTGAGCAGTTGTCCTGCACACAGCCTTGAGGAGGATGTCTGGCGGGTGGGGATTCCTGCTGAGCCCAGACAAGATGACACACCCCTTAGTCAAGAGCTGGTTAACATCTGAGGGGAACTCTACTGTGAGCAAAGATGGTATGAAAGAGGCCATGTCCAAACACGGGCTCACCAGCTCTGTGCATTCGGAATGACCCCAGATGCAAGAGGAGGGACATGATCCTCTCAACCTTCCTTGGAGCAATGGAGGGCTGGAGGGAGGTTGTACCCTAGCGTTTGCCACCCTGTGCAGAAGAGAGCAGCAAGGCCTAGTTAAGGATCTTGCTGTAATGTCTGGATGCAGCTTTGGATGTTGCCCAGTTGCTTTGGCTCTGTCCCTTGGAGCATTTCAGCTCTGTGGCGAGCTGCATGCCACCAGGCAAGCAGCGAGGAAGGTTTCTTACCAAACTGGAGGTTATTCCTAGGAAACTCCCATTTTTCATTGTATGGCAGCTGAGTGGGATCGATAAAGATGTAGTTATTCCCTTCACAGGCCTCAATGATCTTCCACCGCACCTGGTACTTGGGTTTCTGTAAGGAAAAGACTCCAGTTACTCAATGTTCCTCAAGTCCTGAGGGTTCCCCAGTCCCAGCATACACTCTAGCTCTCACCCTGCAGGCATAGAGGGAAGACTCAGGTTTCAGCTCATCAAATATGTCTTGCTTTGAACCTGGACTGAGTGAGAGAGGCTTTGTCTGGACAGCCTGGTCCCTGTGCTGTTACAAAGTTCCCCCAAGTCATCATTCATGACGTAAAGTAGCCCGTTGCCCTCACTTGGGATGGCAGAGCTGGGAGAGCCAGCATGTCCCACCAGACCAGTGGCTGAGCTGTGCCCAGCTGGTGGCAAAGGAAGGTGTCCCTGCTGTCTCTCCTTCCTTGGTACCCTGGGTTGCTGAGCACAGCAGAACGGTGGAGCTGGCCCAGCCCCACTTCCCTTACAGGGGAAAAAAAGAAATGGAGAAAGAGAAGTAAGAATTTCTTCTCTTTTCCACAAATCTCATGGCAGAAGTAACCAGGCAAGGACAGAGAGAAGCGGTGCTGGAGCCCATGGGCAGAGGCAGTTGCCAGCTTGTGCTGGGTGTTGTCATTCATGTTGAGAGGGCTAGGGAGCCAGGCTGGAGGCACAAATACAGAGAAAGGCAGTGAAATAGCTTGGCATGAGAATACTGTGAGCAGCCTTTGCTCCTGTACAAGGAGACAGGCAAGGACCTGCAACCAGAGTGGCAAAGGTGGTCTCAGGTCCATCAAGACAGACACAGGGAAGCATGGGTGGAGTGACCATGGCTGTGATGAATCACCTCATGTCCCAGCTACTGGGAGGTGTGTGCTGAAATGCTTCTCGTCACCACTTTCCCTGGATAGTTGCAGAGAAGGATGCAGCGTATGGGTAGATGCTCAAAACTAGGTTAGCACAGGCATGAGGGACCATAACTGAGGCAAACAGATGTGCAGTTTTGATGCAAAGCATCTATTTGTTTTCTCCCCCACACTGCTTTTTTCTTTGCCTGAGAGTTGAACATCTGTGCCCATGCAGGCTGTTGAAAAGGCCCAGACAGGATGCTCCAAGCAGCACAGTTTCTAGTGGAGGTCCCTCATAAAGAATGCCACATGCATTCAGTTTATCTGCTGTTGCCTGCTCCCAGAGGGTGAGCATTGCTGCTTTCTGCTCCATGATTCACCTAGCACTGCAGCACTCAGCCATGGCTCAAGAAGCCCATGGCTGAGATAGATAAGATTATTTATAAACACGTCCTGCTTCTCTTGGGCTTGCAAGGCCTCCCTAAATGCTATTTCTTCAGAGCTGTGCTTACACATCCATCCACCTCTCTCTCTCTGGACTACTGGCCAAAGAAAGCTCTGCCTGCAAATCTGTAGGCACTTGTTTGGGAGGGGGCTCTGCTGGATCTTCTGACAACCAGCACCAGAACTTTGCTGCAAAATTTGCAGCCTTGATGGGCTGTCAAAGGAAGAGTGCCAAAAGGGAGAGCTGAAAAACAGGAGATTTTCACCCACTGATGAAGCAGAGGTGGCTATTGATTGGCACAGTTTATGGAAACAACCGAGAAGGAATCAAAGTGCTGAAAATGAGTCTTGCAGAGAAAATGGGGCAAGTTCCTGTATAAAAATAGTGACCAAGTCTTCCTGGAGACAAACGCCTTCTAACATCATCCTGTTTCCCCATAAAGACAGCTTTTTATAAATCAGGGAGGAGAATAAAAAGTAGATGCAAGTTGCAGACCACTTTTTTTTCCCTCCTTAATTCACTCTGTGGATTCATGGTGACCAGAGCAAAACCAGCTGCAATTGACAGCACAGAGTGAGCACCTTTGTCTGGCACCAAGGAATATCCACGTTGACCTCTGGGCTACAAGACTGAGGGACCAGGGTGGGAGAGGCGTTAACACACTGGGTTTGGTGCACGAGCCTTGCCCTGCAGCAGAGAAGTTGGGAGCCTTCCTCCTGGGGGAAGTTGGGAGGCAGTGGAGATGAGGGAGGTAGCTTGCCTGGTACCTCCAAGCCTAATGCTCCCTGCCTGTGGGGGCCAGCAGAGGCAGTGTGGTCTCTGAGGCTGGGCAGGCGTTGCAGCCCTTGCTATGCAACAGGGAATCTGACCTGGTTGTACTTGTAGAGGAGGAAGAGGAGTAGGAGGAGCAGCAGGACCGATGTACCTATGCAGGTGGAGAGAACGGGGCTGAAGAGCTTGTTTGGGGGGGCCATGACATTTCCTAGAGGAGGAAAAAAATGGGGATGAGTAAAACACTCCTGTTTCAATCCCATCTGTGGGAAGATTTTGCCCAGCTGTTCACTTAGGCTTCCCCTGTATGCAACACAACCCAGCACTGGCCTCAGAGACACCCAAAAGAGCTTCTGGGAACTGAGGGAAGTTCTTGATGCCAAACTCAAGGCTGCAATGGTTCCCCCCGTGCACCCCAATTTCCACACAAAGAGCACCAGGTCCAGGTCAGACTGACTGGGGACCAAGATCTGTGCAGCAAGAACAGGCCCATCAAAAGATGCAACCTCTGGACTCCAGTGGGCTGAGCGACAGCTGGCTGCGCCGCGCCCTGGAGCTGGGTCCTGAAGTTATAAGGTGTTCATGGCATGGCTCAGCCTTTGGCACCAGGCTACGCCCAGCCAGCAATTCCCACATGGCTCCTAGGACTGGCAAATGCCAAAGCCTCCCAACTCCTGTGAAGACAGAGGGCTTGCGGAATCTATTCCACCTCTCTTGCAAGACAGTAGGGATATACGTATAGGAAGATGGGCCCCCAAAAGCCCCCAGATCCTTCCCCACTCTGCCAAGCTACCAGTTTGTATCTTACTGGTGATGGTCAGTGAGTGAAACATGTCAGAAGCGTTCCCCTCTCTGTTAGTGGCCACACAGCAGAAGGTAAAATTGACACCCAGCTCCTGGAACGGGACAATGCTCTCCACCTCCACCTCTTGGAAGGGCAACATGTTCACAACCTGGGGACTGGAGTCGTTCAGTAGCAACCTATAGTCCTCGTTGTATCTGCAGAGACACCAAGCAGTAGAGAATGAGTGCTCCTCTGCAGCACAGTTGCTCATAAGTGAATTGGTGCCTGTAACAGACTAGAGAGGAGACACTGGGAATTAGGGTTGCAGCTCTATGAGACATTACTTACTGCCCGGTTAAAAGATCTCTCCCTGAACATCAAAGCCCTGTATAGACAGAGCCTTAACCGCCTTTATGTGGCTACAGCTATGGCAGCAGTTCCCTCCTTGAATGGGGCTGGTACTGAGACACAGCCACACCTGTCCAGGCAGCTGCAGTTGCCTCCCATCATGTTGTAGCTCAGTGAGCCTGTGCTCTGCAGAGCCTCAGACCTGTGGAGGTCCCAGAAAGATGACTAGGACCAGCCAGGATGTAGCTCTACAGCAACCTACACCAGGGCACTTCTCCAAGGCACCCACAGGTTCCTCTGAAAAGCATTGGGAGAACATGAATCACAGGCGGCTGAACTCTGCAAGCTCAAGACTTCAGGAATAATACCTGTCCCCTGTCCTCAGACAGTGCCCAAGAACCTCTTTTTTTAGCAGGGCAACATCCTTCTTGCTGTTACTGAACAGGCTCTGCTATATTGCCTGTAAGCAAGCCCACGTGGTGCTGCTCAGCAAATGCCAGCATAGCAAGGGCAAGTGCACACCTTGGAGGTACTCAGTCTCCTGGGCATGTCTTACCTGTCAGAGTGAATGGGGCACTGGTACCACTCAATGCGTGGGGCAGGGTAGCCGATGGCCATGCATTGAAGGATGCTGGAGTCATTGGCTGGCACCTTGATTTTGCAGACCCTTGGAGGAGCTGTTGGGGAAGGCATATAAACAGTGAATGCTATGATCAGAGGAAGAGCACATTCCCTGTGCTCTGATTTACTTTCCATGTGTGCAACAGTAAAACACCAGGAACCCCCTATGCATAGGTTTGGGCTGGGTCCCAGATGCATTCTGGCTGAGTGTCCTGCGGGCACTGGGCTGGAAGCACCCTGGTACCCCGCCCTACTTGCTGCCAGCTGGGCAGCAGCCCCCGGGCAAGCAGGGTGAAAGAACGGGCAATGCCAAGCACTTACATTTCACAGAGATACTGAAGGTAACTGATGCATTGGTCTCATTGTTGAGGGCATAAAATGTATAGGGACCTCCCTCTCCTTCCTGCAGGCGGTTCAGGAAGAGTGTGTTGTTATACCTGCTCACACAGAGAGAGTAAACACCACGAAGAAACGCAAGCACTCACACAGTCTTTGCTCAGCGAGATGCTGCTGCTTCCTATGCCCTGGAGCGGGTGAACACTTCCCAGCACTAATCCCAGCCCACGAGGGGAATCTGCTATTTGCTTCTTCAGGGGGAGCAGGGAGGATCTGATCTTCCTTAGAGGAAAGACCTTTTGCCACCAAGTGCACAGCACTTCTGAAAGGCTACAGGTGGGTGAATGCTCAGAAGGAAAGGAGAGTGTAACATCTAAATCATTGTCTTTGAAGGGCTAGAGGATGCTGGTCCTCCTGCCTTTGACAGAATGAGTTATTCTTCCCATTTCTTAGCCCATCAATTCATGGTCCCTAGTGCCCGCTGCCCCCTGCCCCCAGCCCATTTCTCAGATCCTGATGCAAGGAAGAGTTCGCCCTAAAGCCATCATGCTTGCTGAGTGGCACAGTTCCTCTTGTGGATTATTTTGGGTTTCTAAGAAAATGAAAAGGGAATTGCCAAAACTCCCCACCGAATGGAATGATTCTCTTTCTTTCGGTCTCCTTTTTGGCCTCGGTTGGCTGTAGGCTTTGGAAGAGCAGGGCTGTGCCCTCCATTAGGTCTTATCCACATAACAATGTTTCTGGCTTCTCTTCACATGGGGCATACAGTGCCGCTCGGCACATACACTCTTCAGACTGCAGAGAATGGGGCAGGTCTGAGGAGCAGTGAGGGAATTCGGGGTTTTTGTACTGTTCATCCACCCCTACAATTTCTTCCTGCAAGGAGAGTGCGAATTTGAGCAACCAGACCACAAAAGTGATAGTGACTTCCACAAGGTTTTCTAAAGAGAAGGCTGCCAAGTTACAGAGGTGGTGTCCTCCTTGACCTCATCAGACCTGCTCACTGTGGTTTGCTAATAATACTGGAAAGAGAAGACAGAAAGGCAGAACAGTTCCCCTCTTTAAAACCAGAGAGTTTTCTGTGAGCCAATAGCATGGGGTCTGCCTGTCTCACAAGGAAAGCATTTTTGGAAACATGCCATGGCCAGTGTAGAAGAGAGAGCGCACATACCAGTTGTTTCCAGAGATCATTTGGCCCTTGAATGTGGTATTCCCAGAGTTCTTCAAGAGGTTCGTGTGCTGCCAGCTCCAGTGGAGAAGTTTTGGGTAAGCCTCAATGTGGACCTGCAGCTTCAGACTCTCTCCCAAAGCAACCTCCTGGCTGGTGGCTTGCATTGGGGTCAGGAATACATAACCTCTCTCTGCAGGATGGAGGAGAGCATGACCATCAGCAGGTATGTCCAGAGACCTGAAACAAGCTTATACCAGCTTCATAAATGGACCATTATTGGAACGGGCAGCTGGGAGACTGCAGGAGGGAATGAGGCATTACACAGATTATGTTGCCAAAGGAGTACTTTTAAGTTGCTTCTTTGTCATGGGAGCTTGGATTACACTCTGCCTGAGGAGGGCTAGAAAATCTTAGTGATATCTCATGGGAAAAGGGGTTTTACATGCCGTGTCCTAATAAGTGATGAGGCTAAAACTGTATCTCCTGATCGTCCATAGATGACAGGCCCCTTAGCTAAACTCCTGGCTTCTCAGTTGGAAACAATTCAGACCAAGCCCTCTTTCTGAGCCATGGTATGCAGTGGCTTTGGGTCATCAGCAAACCCCAGCTTATGAGCTGCGGGGATGAATTTTCCATCTTGAGATACAAACAAGTGTATAATAGACCTGAATCCTCTTATGGGGATCTGTTACTGGAAGAGACAAAGATCCATACCCTGCTCATGTGGCTTGCCCTTCTTTCTAGTCAGCCTTTCCTGGTCTTCAGCATAATCTTGCCCCATTCTTTTTTTGTTTTAAAGCTGTTTATAAAAACACACAGAAACTGAGAAGAGCTTTCTGATTTTTCATCCAGAATCCAAAAAATGTCCTCCTGCCCCTCAAGATGTGAAGGGAACACCAGTTCCTTTCCTAGCAGCTCCACAGTTCTCATGTGAGCCTTCAAGGACAAGCGAGAATGATGTTTCCAACAACAAAACTAGGAACAAGATGGAAGCAGAAGCAGGAAATACTCAAAGCTAGGTGTGATTCAGCCCACACCTTCCTGGTCTTTTGGGGAAGCACTCACCTACTACCTGAAGCATTGTCGAGGCATTCCTGAATCCTGCTGAATTGTTAGCTATACAAGTGTATTTCCCACTATCTTCCATGGTCACCGCTGGAATGGACAGGATGTCGCTGATGAAGTAGTTCTCATTTTCAAAGCTAGGCTTTTTAGTTCTCCTGACCTGTCAGGCAGGGAGGGAACATCAGGCACTTTCTTGGAAGGGCAGAGGATGGAACTGAATATTTACGACAAACATACCCACCCCCCTCCTGTTCTGGGCTACTGAACTTTGTTATAGAGACCCTGTCACTGAAAGCCATCTGTGTGGAGACCAAGAGACGTATTAAACCTAAGTATTCAGGGCAGATATTCCACAGCAGTTAGGATTATAGCTATTGTCAGCCTTCTGACTGCAAGTTGGCCTTACATTATGTGATCCAAACATATCTGTATGTTATTTCAACTCCTTAATAAAGGCATCAGATATAATAAGGACTTCTAGCAAACCTTATCTAACCATCTAGCAGTTAAAAGTCAGCACAACAGAGATTTTGAAATGCATCTCTTTCTTCACCCATATCTTTTCTCTGGGGAACTGTGTGTCCTGAACACGTTTGCTGCTTTATAAGCCCTGGCAGGGCTGGGTGGAAAAATGTTGCCTTAGTAGGTACTGTGGTTCCTGCTCAATGAACTCAGCTGAAAAAACAACTTCTCTCTTGCTGCAAGATCCTGACAATGGGCAGGTGTTTCTTAACCCTGCGTCATCCCAAGGAAAAGATGGCCATATTCACATTTCTACAGCTTGTTTGAATAGCTGCTTTGGTTGGGCAGTTCAAGGCTTTGCTGCAGGTGACTTTGGTCTGGGCAGTTCTTACCACCCTATGTCTCCCAGTTTCCAGGAAAGCCCTTGAAGCTGCACAACTTACGCTCTTTGCTGCTGTCACCCATCTGATGTCATACTTGTGGGAAGGAGCAATTACTCTGCAAGTGACTTTGAAAGGTTCGCCCACGATTCGCACATGGTCTATAGGGTCCATCATCACTGATACAGGCTTCTCCAGTGCTACACAAAGGCAAACAGGGAAAGATTCAGTGTCAGCTGGTCCAGTGACCCCGTGTGCTTTGGAGACACCCCAGGGCCTGGCTACCTTCTCCTTTCCATCCTCTTCAGCCTCTTTACCCCCAGCCTTCTCCTTCCCTAGGGATCATCACTCCTTTTTGTGCACGTGTCTATGGGAAGCAGTACAGGTTGGGGAGAGCACAGCAGTCAGCACTGTGGGTTGAAAGGGAAGGGGAACCTTCTGCCACGGTTACGTGCTCTCATCAGGGCTGAGGACTTGCAGAACCTCAGGGAGATAGGTGGACTTTTTTCTCTGTTCTGTGATAGTGCCTGCAAAGATTTGAACACCGCTGAACACATGGAGACCCACCTGAAGGAGCCAATTTGCCAGAAGCTAATGGAATTTTGCCTCCATTAAATACCCTTTAAAGACTGCAGGTTCAGAAGGTCTTTCCTACCACTGGCGAGGAGCTTTTCCTTAACTATCTACTGTGGCCAGCTTAGCTATGGCTGTCTCCCCGAGGACAGCAGCAACCCCAATCCTTTACCTTCTTCCACAATCAGTCTTATTCTTGATGACTTCTGTATTTTTCCATTTATCACTGCTTGGCATCGGTAAAAGCCCTTCTGCTTGCTTTGCACATTGTAAAGTGTTATTCCTTTCTCAGTACTGAAAGAATAGTTGGTCCCGGGTGAGAGACGAGAGGCGTCATCCATTATCAGAGTCACACTGGATCCATACTCGGGGGCCGTGATGAGACAGGGGAGCTCAGCATTACCACCTTTGCTCACGAAGATCCGGAAAGTTGGGGTGTACCACACATTATTGGGATCTGTGGAGGAGACAAGGTAGGCCAGAGAATGGGATCAGAAAATGCATTGAAGCGAAGGAACACATTCCAGCAAAGGCAAGTCTCCAGCACTGCTGCTCAGTGGGAGTTCGATGCTGGGGCAGCCCTGCTCAACGCCTGCCTGACTCAGCCTCCAAAAACTCACACGACAAGCCCAATTCCAGCTAAGGCATTTGAGGAGAGCACAGCAATCAACTCACAAATGTACATAGGCAAGAGGGACTGAGAAGTATGCTTAACTCTAATTAAACTTTTCACCATGGCGTTCGTTTTATTTATCAGACCTCCAGCTCCCCTGTCTAGGACAGTATCTCTGGTACAAGGGAAGGGGTGAACTCAAGTGGCAGAGCTACCACAGCATAACTTCTGGGGTAAAAGAATATTTGGGGTTCAGGTCACGCTGTGAGGATGTGATTCATGTGACTTTCCCTTATTTGGGGTACTGGCAATACAGTTCTCCGATTTCCAGATCTCACTGCTCATTATAACACTGAACAGACTTTCATCCCTGTTTTTTCAGGAAGAGAAGCCAAGGTAAATGGAGGGAGAGGTCCAGGCCATTCACAGATATGCATGAGATGTAAATGCTCTGTATTCTGCCCCAGTGCTTCAGCCACAGGCCCCATTGCATGTGGGCTTACATGGTTGTGGGTAAGCCACTGCCCCAGTGGCCCCACTGCCTGCACTGCTCCCCCAAACACACACACAACCACATCCACAGAGAGAATCTGTGTAATGGCCGTGCTCCCTCAAAGGAGGCCGTTCTGCCAGCATATGTGGGAAGAGAGAAGCATGGTTACCTCGCACAAACAGATGCACAGTTGCAATGCCCTCATCACTTCTGTTGACGTAAGCACACTTATAGGTGCCTGTATCCCTGTAAGTGGCCTTGGGAATACTGAGTGTGCTGCTGGTATGGTTGCTGAACGTATCCTTTTGGCTTTTCCATTCAACTTCTGACTCTCCTGAGCAGTGCAAGATGACTGGATCACCCGTGTTGACAACCAGAGCAGGGAGGTCATGGCTGATCACTGGGGATGCTGAGCCTACAAAGGAAAAAGAGAAAGAGTGAGGATGCATAAATGATCCCTAATGATGCTCTGTTGGAGTTCACACTGCTGAGCATGGAGTAGCTCAGCATCAGGAAGAGGCTGGGCTTGGAATTCAAACTGGCTTTTTGGCTTGCGTCACTCCAGCCATTCTCCATCCCACCAGACTGATAGAACCTGATACTCCAAGGAACGAATTTCAGGGAAGAGACAAAACCCCACATGTGAACATTTAGAGCACTGGGACAGAAAAAAACAATCATCTGGAGCTGATTAGGCCAGATGCTAGCTTGGAAATTATTCCTGTTGGGTTTTGCCTCTTCTTGCAAGAGTTTTCCTTTTGTGGCAGAGCTGGAACTACTACATGAACTTCATTAGCCCGTAACACCATTTGGTGAAGTTTAAGCCAAATCTAGTGGATGGGGCTTTCTTTGTTGCACTGGTGCTGTGATGAGCTAGAACAGACCTGGAAAGCTTCTGCAGAGCAGGATGTCAGTGCATGCCTTTTGGGAAGACTGGCTTTTTGGTTGCTGGGCAATGGATTTTGAAGGACACCTACTTGTGCCTTATCATAGAGTCAAACAGTGTGTTTTGCTTGCAGATACAATGAAAACATTATGAAGTGAGTTAGCATTATTATTCATATTTGGGGGTGGGAAACTAAGGCACAGAAAAGCTAAATGGCTCATGAAAGCCCATAGCTGCAGTTGTACGCCAGGCCATGCTGACACTAGCGTTGCAACCCAGCTGGATTTCTGATGCCATCTCTACTTTGAAGATGGCTTCTTTGCTGGCTGAATAAAGGGGAACCAGGGTCCCACTCCAGCCCTTAGTGTCAGAGGGAAATATTTTTTTCCCTGTTTTGCCACATCAGCGAGTTCTTTGAGTCACCACCTATATTTAGGGTGGGGGGAAGTGAGAAGTGAATCAGTGCTGTGGGGCTAGGGAAGAAGCGGTACTGCCACCCCCACGCCAGGCCTTCGGGGAGGACAGGAAACACATTGCAAATGGCTATCTGTGCTCAGGGGGCTCTGCACCCCTCTCCAGACCCTATCCAGGGCTCTTCTCCCACTTCTGCTTTCCTTCCCAGTTGCTAACCCACCCTCACATCTTAAAGGGACACACACCCAGGTTCCAATAATAGTAAGTAGAAAGGTAGCTGCCCAACTTATCAATTCATTGCTCTTCGTAGAGGACATCTCTGCAGGCAGTGCTCCTTTTGGGTGGCGGCAGCAGAAACAAGGGCTGAGTTTAGTCTCGCGATGCCTCAAGCTTTGCAGCAGACTGCTCTGCACTCACTGGAGCTCTTTAGTGGAAAGATTTGTTGTGCAAATGAACATAAACCCCCTAACTCATCAGAAGTGGGAGAGGGCAAAGCACCCTATAATGGCACCATTCGTCCAGCTGTACTTGTATATCCTTCAGGGGAAGGGGGTGTAGTGGTCAAATGTTACAGCCCTTGTCTCAGGGAGGAGAGAAGAGAAGGCTGCTTATGGTCATGGGTAGCAAAGACAGTTTAAAGCAAATCTGTTCCCAGGTGCTGCCTTGGACACTGTCCCTGTAACACAGCCAGCAGAAGCAGCATGCACCCATCCTCATCCACCCCTGCTCACAGCTCATTTGGTGAAGACTGTGTCCTAGGTGCAAATGTGTGTCCTGTGCTACCAGCTGTGCTCAGGGCAGTAACACCAGAGCCCATCCATCAGAGCTCAAAGAGCATCATTTAAGCAGTCTTGGGCTGATGCCTCCCTCCGTGCAACGAAGGGTCAAGAATACGAGACTTGAGGCCCTGGAGAGCATTGCTGGCGTGTGACAACGATGCAGTTGCCCAGGGGAAACCCAAACAAGGCCTGGATCAAACTCACTGGCCCTGGGGGAAGAAGCAGAGGACAGGGAACTTTGGAGCATGGAATATTTGACATTTTATCTCTTTTTTTTTTAAAATGCTTTTATCTTTCTGTGAAAACAGAAAAAGTCTCATTTATTCCCAGAGCAGAGAAAAACATATCCCAGAAATCTTTGAAAAGCAACATTTTCCACATATCTGAGGTACAATATTCCTCCTCTTTGCTAAACTGTGTAAACCCAGCCTCCAGGCTATCACTGGAAACTCCTGTCAATGGCACAACCACCACACAGCGGAGTGAGGATAGACGGGGCAGAAACATTAAATGCAGGACAATGCCAGGTGAAGGCCACCCAAGCATCCACTCCGTGTGTGCTGGGGGGATGAGTCAGACCAGCAGATCCTTTTCCAGAATGGGGAAGCAGGGCTGCTGGGGGAGGCTTTCTCCCTGCTGACCAGCGTGCAATCTTGCACAAAGCCCAAAGATGTCTCTCTACTGCTCTTCAGCAGCTTCCGCAGCATTGCCGGGAGCTGCTGGCCAAAGGTTTTACCACACTTGGGTTGTGTAACCATGACCTCTAGTTACAGCTGCAGGCTCTGTCCCTGCCTCTCCCATGCCAGCCAAAACATTACTTTCCTCTGCTGAGGGTTTGGAAATGGTGAGGAAGGAGAAGTGAAGGCTGGTAAGACAGAGGCTCAAGAACCTTACCACAGAAGCCAGTCATCAGGACCTTGACTTGGTCCTGAAGGATAACTAAGGTCTGGCCCTGGGAGAGACCCATACCAGGCCTGAGCTCCCCTTGCTCCCTCCTCAATGATGGGAGGGAAGAACTTGGTTTCTGAGGACATCTTCCCCAAAGTCACCTACAGTATATCTGGGGGGCAGGGGATGGGGAAAAGGGTGCTTATCACCTCAGAGGTTTAGATTCATCCACAACAAGGAAACAAAAGAAACCCCAGGAATACTTCTCAAGATGGCCAAGAACACAGACGTGAGCTGATCAGGTTTCAAATCCTTCCTCTGCTTGATCTGAAGCTGGGATTTGAGACCCTGACACTCTCCCAGCAAGAGCCCAGATTACAATGGTCACACCACATTAGCCTTGGGTACTCTCAGAAGATGCACTTGCAATCCAAGAGGTAGGAAAAGGAAGTCAGGCTCTGGCTCCAGCTTGAGGCTATTGCTTTGGACAACCTTGGCATGCTGAAGCTTTGTGCTGCAGATGGCCAACAGTGATGGTACTCAGACAAATGTGGGTCTAACACCCTGACATGGCAGAAAGTGCCTGATGAGGATGTCACAGCTGGTGACCTGCATTGCCCAGGAACCGTCAGAGACATCCTGACAGATATCATTATGATCTATCACAAATCTACATCACACCTGCCTCATCCCTATTATCTTAAAAAAACCCATAAGAAATTATGCAGCCTTCACAACCCAGTTCACAGCACAGCAGACCTGGAAAAAGCCTGCTCAGCATGTCAGAGACATGACTTGAAGTGAAACACCATGCAGTGCAATAACAAGGATGCAAATTTCCTGGGCTGAAAATATGAACACAGCAGTGGCTCGAGGCATACACTGCCTCCCTGTTACATACTGAATGCTTTCCCCCCTAGATTGCACCCTTCCAGGGGGGGACTTCCCACCATAGTCTCATCGTGTGGGGAGCAAGCTCAAAAGAATAATGAAGGAAAGTGTCACACAAGATCTGAGAGGCTGCCAGCACTTAAGACGGAAGATTAGTAATACTGGTTTCTGTCTGTTTGGTTGCAAACCTCAAAACAGGCTTAGTGACTCTTTCTTGAGGTTGATGGGTTATTGCCTCTTGGTCATCTCCGCAGCCCCAAAAGCCAGGCGTATTCACCTTTCCCTTCTTGGCTGCCTGAGTTCTCTTTCCACCACAAGGTCAAACACCTAGCTCTACAGCCCTGTTGTGTATGCCAGCACCACCAGAAAACAGCAATCCTCAGACATCTCCAGCCAGGCACAAGGTGCATTGGAAGGTGCCAATGCAGCCGACTTTCCCCAACTCTGTCACCTGCAGGCCAAGCATCTCCAGCTCTTGTCCCGTTTGGGCAAAGGGTTATTTCAGAGACGGCTTCCCTCAGGACACACTTTCTGCTGGACCTCTCCTTCCTCCTAACCCCCACCCAGACCCAAACAGCAGGAAGTTTCCCTTTCCCATCTCCCCACTGCCAAGGCTCTTCCTATGCTACGTGCACCTTTCCATACCCCTTGGCCTTATCCTGGCAGTGCTGCAGGCAGCCAACAGCTAGACCTCAGCACAGCTGGCTCCAGAGCCCAACACAGACTAGCAACACACCCTCTTTCCACCACTGTACCTCCCTCTATAATGACAGCCAGTTCTGGATGGTCTTCAGGAAGCTGCTACAGCCAAGTCTGTGCTAAAAGCCAAGCCAGTGCCTCTTCCCTGCTGTGCCATGGAGCAGACATGTTCTCTTGCCTGCTCCCTGCCTGTGCCGAGGCTCCTTGAACCTGCCCACAGCAGTGGTGGCTGCCTCATGAAGCAGCCTCCAGAAGCAGGGACCATCCCAGCCCACAGCAGGCTTTTGGTAGACATGATTGGGAGACCAGCTTCACCCTCCACCACCAGGAGCTGAGTGCCCATTAGTCCAACTTCAGCGTTGCTCCGTCCCCAGCCCCATTGAGGCTGTCACCCCTCTTCGCCCGAGGAGGGATAGAGCACTTACACTGGACACCCAGGAAACCCTCGCCGCAACCCAAACCTGCCCCAGAGTGACATACACTGGACACCCAGGAAACCCTCGCCGTAACCCAAACCTGCCCCAGAGTGACATGGAGACACTGTAGGGTTTTGGGGGACCAGTGGACCTACCGTGCCAGACGCTGGCTGCGGTGAACAGCAGGAGGAGAGCAGGACCCATGTCCCCAGGGACCGTGGTGCCCCAGTATGGAGCAGGGATGCAGCTGAAGGATCCTCTCAAGCAGTGTGTACCTCTCCTTGTGGGCACCGTCCCCAGCGCTCCCTCGGCAGGAGCTTCTCCTTTCTGAGTTGACCACAAGTTAAGAAATTCCCTTTTTTTGTTTGTTTTCAAAATGGGAGGGGAAAAAAAAAGAGCGATGCTTTGAGACGTCACTGGTGACAAACCCCCTTGGCAGAGGTGGGGCCATGCATGCACCCCGCTGCAGGCCCCCCCCCAGCTGCGGGGCCACCCTCCTGCCCCAGAGAGGGGTTCAGCCCCAGGCCGCTCCCCAGGGCTGGCAGGGGCCACTGCACCATGCCAAGTTTCAGGACAATCCTGATGTGCCCTGGTGACTGCCACCCAAACCCCCAGGGACTTCTGTACTCTTTTCTCTCTCCGTGTGGGCACCGTCCCCAGCGCTCCCTCGGCAGGAGCTTCTCCTTTCTGAGTTGACCACAAGTTAAGAAATTCCCTTTTTTTGTTTGTTTTCAAAATGGGAGGGGAAAAAAAAAAGCGATGCTTTGAGACGTCACTGGTGACAAACCCCCTTGGCAGACCATGCACCATGCATGCACCCCGCTGCAGGCCCCCCCCCCGCTGCTGGGGCCACCCTCAGAGAGGGGAAAAAAAAAGAGCGATGCTTTGAGACGTCACTGGTGACAAACCCCTGGCAGAGGTGTTGGG